TGAGGACAGGAAATGTATCTTTTTTTTGGTCTTTTTTGTCTAAAACAAAGGTTTTAACTGCTGGTAGAGAATGGGACAAAAGTTGCCAGCTCCTCCACTTTCATCTGGGCGGCTTTAGTTTTGTTCCTGGGCTGATTTGTACAGTAAGAAAATCTGCCTGCTCCTCCCCCTTCAGACACACCCGTGGAGGAGAGGCTGAATAGCAGATGTAATTCAGCAAATGTCAATGGAATAGAGGGGAGGGGAGAGGAGGAACAGAAAAGCCTGCACAGAAGCCAAAGCCCAGAAGATGAGAGCAGCTCAGCAGAGATATCCAGCAGAGAGCAGTGTGGCAGAAAGAATGGAACCACAGAGGATGTTCCCATCCCAAAGCAAGCATTGGTACCCAATGATGGTCAGAGGCACGAATGCCCTGGCTATGCATATCCTCTGGCCATAAAGGTTCTTTATGCATGTGCCATTCTATCGATCAATAAACACACATTTTCTAAGAGCCTACAATGTGTCAGGCACAGTGCTCTGCAAGTCTGGTCATATTTATTTCCTGTATATATACTAGCATAGAAACCTTGGGAGAGTTCCTCCTTCTTGTGCACAGGGATATTCTTGTTACTTGGTTTATTTGATTTAATTGTTACTGACTGGGAGTTGTTCACAAAGGAATTAGAGAAGGCTTTGTGGAAGAGTTGGCAAATGAGTTGGGTGTTATTAAAGGTAAGGAAGCATGGGAGCACAGGGCATGTTCGGGAGACTGAGTAGTACAATTTGGCTAGAGTGTAAATTACACAAAAGCAAGTACAGGTATTCTTCAACATCTCGACTTTCCCCAGTGAAGTTTCGATATGTTACTGGTCGGCATAAGAAATCGAATGGGAAGGTTTCGGGAATTTCATGGATGCCACAGACAGCACACAAAGGTCAGTAGATGACACAGAAAATGGTTAGAAACTCAGAAATGCATAAAATATAGGTATGGCATTGTATAATATCAATATATTTTATCTTTTAATAGCATAATAATCCAGCAGACTTCTCTGGTATGAAGGGAGGGCCAAAAAATTTTATGTGGATTTTACAGATTGCAGGGACATCGCACCCCTAACCCCAGTGATGATGTGAGATAATACTGGAAAGGAAGGATAGTGCCAGGTAGTGGAGGGCCTTAAATGTCAGCCAGAGGAGTTTGGGCTTTATTTTGCTGTTACCTAGGAACCAATGAAGATTTCTGAGCAGAGGAATGGCATACAAACAATAATAATAATAGCATTTATACAGTGCCAGGTACTATGCTAAGCACTTCACAAATATTACCTCATTTGATCCTCACAACCACCCTGGGAGCTCTTATTATCCCCATTTTACAGTTGAGGAAACTGTAATTAATATAACTGAAATTAATAGAGATTAATCTACGCCCAGGGTCACATGGCTAAGGCATCTTCGAGGCTGGATCTGAACTCAGGTCTTATGCCATCTAGCTACCTCAGACCATATGACCAGACCTATGCATAAGAAAAACTATTCTGCGTGGACAGACTGGAGAGGGAAGAGAGGAAAGACAGCCAAAATTATTCAGAGACTATTAAGTGATTCCAGGTTAACGAACATTTATCAAGCATTTACTGTGTGTCTATGACGATGGTCTGTAGTAGGATAGTTGTAGCAATTGGAGTTGAAAGGAGGGATTATGGACATGAGAGATGCTGGCAAGGTGTTGATGGGATTTAGCATCTACTTAAATATGAAAGGTGAGAGAGAGAAAGAGAGAGAGAGAGAGAGACAGAGACAGAGAGACAGAGACAGATAGATACAGAGACAGAGAGAGACAGAGAGAGACAGAGAGACAGAGACAGACACAGAGACAGAGAGACACAGAGAGAGACAGACAGACAGAGACAGACAGACAGACAGAGAGACAAAGAGAGAGACAGAGACAAAAGAGAGAGAGACAGAGACAGAGAGAGAGACAGATAGACACAGAGAGACACAGAGAGAGACAGAGACAGAGAGACAGACAGATACAGAGACAGAGAGACACAAAGAGAGAGAGAGACAGAGAGACAGAGACAGATAGACAGACAGAGAGAGAAGAATGTATTTGTGCTTCATCTCTCCAAGGGGGATGCTAAGCCCAGTACAATGATAAGCTTGTAGTAGGTACTCTAAAACATTTACTAATTAAGTCACCAGTAAGCACTCCCTAAGTATTTACAGGATACTCATATCTTTCACCAGTATTCATTGGTACCCTAAGGGCCCTTAAAACCTAGGGTAGGTGCCAGGGGAAGGAGGGACAGAAGATCAATTTATGCCAAGTGAGTAGAAATAAATGCTAATGAGTTCATTTTACTACCAGTGCCGTCTCTCAGACAGGAGACCAGGCTCATGAAAAAACAGAAATAAAAACTTTAGCCCTATACATTCTTTTGGATTTAACCATTAGGATGCTTAATGTGCCCCAACCATAGCACTACCTCACAGAGTTTGTATGAGGCCCAAATGAGATAATATACTTCAAAAACCTTACACAACATCAATGTTAGCTACTAGTATTATTAACATGATGATGGTAGTGATACGAAATGAGAGTTCCTTTGTTCCAGGCCTAGATATTAAAATGGGTAGTCTTCTTCAGTGGGTTCACAAAGAACCTGGTTGAGCAACAGAAAAACTATCTGGGTTCAAGCTCTCATTCACTTTCTCTGTGTCCATCTCTGTCCCAATCTGTAAAATGGGAAGAATCTGTTTACTTCTTTCCCAGATGAGGAAACCTGAAGTCACCCTTCAAGTCAGTGTCAAAGTGGGCCCCAAACCTCAATCTCCTGATTTTTAATCCCAGGTTCTTTCTGTATGCTACACTTGGCTGTCGTACAGTACCTACCTCACAAGGTTGTTGTGAGGATTAAATAAGGTATTTCCAAAGTGCTTTGTAAGCTGTTTGGCACATTATTCAGTCATTTTCAGGTGTCTACTTCTGTGACCCCATTTGGGATTTTCTTGGCAGAGATACTGGAATGATTTGCCATTTCCTTCTCCAACTCATTTTACAGATAAGGAAACTGAAGCAAACAGGGTTAAATGACTTGCCCAAGGTCACGCAGCTAATAAGTCTAAGGCCAGATCTGAACTCAGGAAGATAAGTCTTCCTGACTGCTCAGTCAGTACTCTATCCACTTTGCCACCTAGCTACCTGGGCCTGCTAATAAATGTTTTGTTTTAAACACCTCCCCCCTTCTCCTCCATGGTTGTTAGCTCAATTCTCTGCTTCCTCTGGCCTCTGTGGGTCACAGCTTCCTCCCCCACCTCCCCACCCCTCCCATACCTAGTTTATAATAGGAGAGGGAAGAATTTTCCCTATGTATAAATTAGATAATTTCTTCAGGGCAGGCTAGGCAAATTCCCATAATGCCCGGCTACTAGGCAGAACTTCCAAGAGTCCAGATGTTTCCAAATCTGACCTCCACCCCATTCTGGACAGAGAGACAGAGATAGAGAAAGAGGCAGAGACAGAGATACAGAGGCCACCGGAAAACTTAATAGAAACTGAAAACTGGAAGGGACCATATCTATCTGAGGTACAACTCATACCTGAAACAACCATGAATCCCATCTATATAAATGATCATTTAGACTCCACCTGGAAGGATCTGGTGGTGGTGGGAAACTCACAACTTCTCAAGGTAGTCCATTCCAATTTTGTTGTTCAATTGTCTTTTCCTGTGGTGGGAACCTGCCCCCACACACCAGCAGCCCCACCTCTCAGTCCTTTCTTTCCTTCTCCAAGTACACCAGTTTTCTTGATGGGGTGTGTCTCAGCATGGTACAGTAGAAAGGGTGTATCAACTGAGGCTTTTGAGAACCTGGGGCTTGATTTCTGCCTCTAACACTTCTTTCTGTGTGACCTTAACCTCCCTGGGCCTGTTTTCTCATCAGTAAAATTAGAGGGTTGGGCTAGATAATCTCTGAGGTTCCTGAACCAAGTGGTAGATTTTTTTTTCACTCTGAACTGGAGAATTCTCTTTGGCTCTTTTCCTTTCCCTTTATTCAATTCCTACCCTAGGACACTTGCAATTGCCTAAGGAACACAATTCATTTTCCCTTCACAAAACAGCTTATTACTTGCTGGGAAATGCAAGTTTCCAGAGACTTCCTAGGAAGAAGGCTACGGGCTAAAGAGTTAGCAAATTCAGTCCCATCAGGAAGACAGAGAGAGCAAACAATTCAATTCATTTCAGTTTAATAACTATCTGTTAAGCAAAAGGCTGTGTAGGCCTAAAAGAACTTAAGGAGGATACATGTACACAGAAAAAGTAGCATGTGCTTCATTTCAGTAGGTCTGTATTCATTTGGGGTTATTTTTTGCACTTATCTTTGTCTTTACTCCAAACAGTCAAAAAAAAATTTTTTTTTCCAGAAACAACTCCATCTCTGAGGGGAATGATTCACATGGCACAAGTACCTGGGTTCTGTACTGAAACAAAACAGAAGCTCTTAGCTGTCTCGCTGAAAACCCTCGGCTTGATCGGTCCTGTGTTTGGGGCTATCCCGGGTTGGAGCACACTGTGCACGGGGACACTGGGCAGGAGGATAATACACCACCTTGATAAAACTATCCTTTTTACAGGGCGTGGTGGAGTCAAAAAGGAACCCAGAGAACCAGAATCCCAGCCGCCCGATGCCGCTCTCCTCCCCATCGTGTGTTTTTTATTTTTTTGAGTGGGAAAGGGGGGCAGTCACTGTTCTTCCCTGGCCACCTGCTACCTGCAGCCAGTCCCTATCTCCGGTCCCCCCTGCTCCCTTACTCTCGCCGATGCTGGAGAAAGCTTCTTGCCTACCCAGTTCACTGGCTGGTGGGCACGGCCCCAGGCACCTGGCCGAGAACTGAGCAGAGGCTAGCGCGCACGAGCCGCGGGCGAGTGGGAGGGCAGAGCGCGCTCTCGAGTTACCCCACCTGGCCCCCGCCCTAGTAGGGGTGGCCGAGGCCATGCCGCCTCTCTCACCTCTGCAGGCTTGGAGTGGCTCCTGTCCCGGGGCCCCGAGGGGCCGGATTCGGGTCCTCGGAGCTTTCTCAGGGGCAGCCCCCTCCCGGCGGGGAGCAGCAGCGTGAGCAGGACAAAGCCGAGGAGGAGCCCCGCTTTCCCGAGGAGCCGAGGCATCGTCTCCTCTGCTCTCCCCGGCGCCTCAGTGCTTCTCGCTCCGCTCACTCGAGTCTGCCCCCCCTTTCTCTTCCACCGCTTTCCACTCCCCTCCGTCGTTGCGGGGGGAGGGGGGGACAGATTGGACCAGTGCTGGCGAAGGAGGGCGGGCGGAGAGAATCACTCTTCTTTCAGCCTTCTCTGGGGGGCGCGGGAGGGCGGTGCGGGAAGGGAGGAGACAGAGGGAGTCAGGGAGGAAGAAGGGTGTGTGCATGTTACACACTCCTGCACGCACCCATGCACACCCAGACACGCGCGTGCCCACTCCTGCACACACACACACACACACACACACACACACACGTAATAATCAGGGCTTTACGGAGTTCTGCCCAGCGGTATGAGAGCCTGCCCGTACGTGCATGCAAGTGTGACCATCGCACGTGTGCGAATGTACCTTATCTGGACCCGAGCTGGCCAGGCTTCTCTGTGACTATATCCCTTCTTAGCGTGAGTCTCTCTTCTTTGATCTCTCTAGCCCCGTGCAGATAAACCCTGGGATTTATCGGGTTCCCTGGCTCCTCTGACTCCGGCTGTTGTAGCCAGCGCTATCCTCTGCAAATAGGAGAGAAGCAGCAGCCCCGACCCAGAGGAGTCTCCAGCTCCCGCTAGTTGCTCGATTCTTTCTGACAATCTTCCCGCCCCTGGGAGTGACTGTCTCCAGGCTGTCTTACCCACTACTAAGCGGACTGTTTTCTCCAGGGCTAGAAACCAAGGAGGGGTAGGAGGCGTTGAGTTCTGAGATAAAGGCAAAATCTTACAAGAGTTTCAAGGGGGCCTGGCCGTTCCGGGGGATTTCAGTAGAAATCGGACCCTAGTGACGCAAGGTTTGTTGGACTATTACTTGAAACGCAGATGGTGGTTTTGCGTAGGGAAGCTCAAGGGAATGGGGGCTTGCTTTCTTGCACCACTGAAATAACTTTTGGTGCTGTCTCTAAAAGTTTCACACCATCACTGCCCCACGTGGACTTGACAGGAAGGTAGTCAAAATGCCCAAGAACTGAATAAATGAAGTTGTTTCGTTCACTAGAGAAGAACAACCCCTTTACTTTTCCTTTAAAATTTTGGAGTTTTATGATGGAAGAAAGTGAAGTTCGGAAAGGAGAAAAAAAAATCAGCACCCTCAGAGGGAGGAATAGCAAGCTACCGTTGAAGGGAGGAGTCAAATCCTTTCCTAAGAAGGACCTCAGTTATGTCTGTCGTCTATCCAATAAAACGACGGAATACAATCTGAGAACAAATGTGACCTGCATCCCACTGCTGAACTTGTAGAAATCCAAGTTCGGTGAGATGCTTAAGAATCAGTCAGAAGGTTGCCAGAAAGATGCCCACTCAGCAATTGCTTGCCTGACTGAAAAATTGCAAACGTTGGATTAGGATTCTGAAATTTTCTTAACAAAAAAAAGATAGAATAATATTCTAAACACAAAAGACACCATACATTTCAGGTCAACTGACCTACCTACAGAGGTCCCCAACACCCCAACTGAGAATTCAGCCTATATTGAACCAGCTACTGCTTTGTACATTACTTGATGCAAATGCACAAATAATCTCATTAAGCCTTTGTTCTTCCCACTGGAAAGCCTCTTTCCTAAACTCACAAACTTAAAGGATTTTAAAGAACGAAGCCAAAACCCATCTTTCTGAATATTTTATTGGGCAAAAACACAAATAGATTTGCATGGATTGTTCTTATTTATCCCAGGCAGTTTCCCTTTCGGGTTTAACATGCACTTTTGAAGCTGAATGAACAGTTCCCTCCCACTGCACCCAGTTTCACAGTCATTCAACAATTAAAAAAAATTAGATCATCTGGCATAAAATACTTTATTTTTCAGTGGTAGAGGGTAATCAGTTACAAAATTTTATTTAAAATGTTTCATATTTACAATCTATCCCCCCTCCTCCCTCCAAGGGTATGTATATATGTACATTATAGGACTAGACAGGACAATTCCACCCCACTCCCTGCAATTCCACTTTGTCCTCTCTTCTATGGCAATGGAAAAATCTGGGCCACTAGACACCTCAGGTTCCAAAAAAGGCTGTTTCCCTAATTCTTAACCCATATCTTTTACCCCTGTCTTCCTTATGTTAGCTGCCTTCATACAGAGAGGGATCCTCAAGATTGTATGGGGATGTTGCTTGAAAGAGGTTGGGGTGACATTCTGGGCTTCTCCTATCATTACAACCACTAGCCCATTTCCAGTTACTAGACCAAGACTCCTGTTCAAGCGAGGAAAAATTCAGTCATTACTCCATACCAGGCAGTGAGAAGCCCTAATTTTCTTCCTACTATTTCCCCTTCTTTCTTCCCCAGTTGTTCCTGGCCAAGTTACCAAGCTTTGCACGAAGGACTTGGATATAGAATGTTTCATGAAGCAAGTTTTGAACCAAATCAGGTGTCCTTATGCATAGGAATATTCCCTGCTCATCCATGGAGATCATAGTAGGGGAACACAGTAAGAAAGCAAAAGAGGTAGTTTCCTCCTCCTTCCTTCTACTGCTCCCTATCCCTCCGCTTGCTTTAAGAACAAAGCAGCAGGTGTCACTTCATTAGGAATGCAGTACCTGCAGTTTAAAAATCACGGCATTCTTTAGGGTCAGTTAATGAAAACACATCATACCAAAAAGAATCATAGTTTAAGGCCATTTGTGATGTGCATTATACAGTAAACAAAGTCTTTCTTGTCTATACCCTTTCCTACCTTCTTTAAGTTTGGGATGGGATGGGAACAAGATAACTCTAGACTCACTAGTTATGGTACAAAACACAGCATTCAAACTACAGGAACATGAGCCAACCCCTTTGGTTCCCTCCCCAAATCAGGCATTCAGCCTATAGCAGGGCATACTCAGGAAATTTGAGAAGCTAAAAAGGGCAGAAGAGGAAACAACATCTTCTATCAAATTAAATCCAACAAAAATCACTCCTCGGCTCCAGGCATTTGTTCTGCATGATAAGGGAGAAAGACAGCTGCCAAATTCTGCCTGTGTCATGCACATGGGAGTCTGAGAACCACATATCATACTAGTAAAGCCAAGAAGGGAGCAGACATGCTTGTCTCTCTCAGGTAAGTGTGGTTCAGTCTCCTAGCTTGATGAATTGAATTGAATTGCATGCTGACAGCTGTGCCCCCATGTAAAGCAGGCAGCAGCCACGCTTGGAAGGCTTGAGCAATACTGAGTCTTCTAGTCTTGATTCTGATGTTCTCCCACCATATACTGGTACCACCCTGCACTATTTTAACAGCATGGAATATTCAACACTAATCCATGAATCACATTGTGAATGAGACCACACAAGGAAAAAGGACTTCTTTAGTTCCATCCATTTCACATCACATGGGGTGAGGTTATACAAACAGAAATTTCAAAAAATCACTTAACATATGGAGCACCAGGAGAAGGAATAGGTAGGTAGTGTCTTAACTGAACTGTAAGGAACAAAAGCCCACCAAAGTACTATTCTATAGCCACTGACCCTGGAGCCTCCCGATAGGAACCATGTTTCTTTGGATATTTTATACCATGCCGCCATACTATCCTAACCAGGATAGACTAACTAAACTATTTTTCTTCCCTACTTATGACGTGATTAATAAGGTAGCATGGCCACCATATCCAATCTTATTGAGGGAGACAGTCTCCTTATCAATTTGGAAGAGAAAGAAATGGAGGTAGCTTGATTATACTTTAAGGGTTTTCTTTTGAATGAACTAGGAAACTTCCTCATCACACTTTCTCCCTGTATTCATCAACAGGCAGAAGAGGCATATGTAGATTTTAGTGAATTCAGCTAGATAGATGATTATTGGTCAGAAAATATGGAGGCCGATTTCATATTAAGTAGGGAGGGGGAGAAAGGATGCCAGCCCATTAGAAAACCTGAAGAAGTTGGGCCAAATGCATTTGGAGAGGCCCTGCACCCAATTTATAATAAAAAAAATTTCCAATATATTCATCCTAAAACACCATAAACAGCTTTCTCTGAAGGCAAGAACCTTGAAGGAAAAAAAGAAACTGGAAAAAAAGAGGGACTTGAGTGAGAAAAGAGGGTAAATTAAGAAAGCAGAGTTCAGAGTGGCAAGTTGGGAGGGAAATTCCAGAAAGTAATACCCCTTTTCTTTTCCTCCGAAAAGATGTTGAGAAGTGATCATTTTCTTTTCACTTGGAAACACTACTCCATAAATGGCAAAGGTTCAATTAAGTGAACAAAACACTGTTGGGTCCTTGGGCTGCAAGTTCATAGATAAATCGACCTTAAAGGTCAAGAGCTAAATATATTTTTCCTGAAATGAAGACCATTTCATCTAAAACTAAATAGAAAGCTCTTCAAGGTCCTACTCCTAAAGGAAATCTCTCCAGGAATGCTTCACAATCATTACATTTATTGGTGTTGAAGCAAGCAGTCTGTGAAGTGTTTGGCGAAAGCATGAATGAAGACAGAAGAGATTGCCACCTCTACCCTTCCTATTTGTTCTACCTGATTTCACATTGCTGGGTGTGTAGGGAGAAATAGCTCCTGCATTTGCATTCAACAACTTCACTTCTCAGAGACTGATTTGACGTTTCTCCAAATAATATGAACTTCAAAGCAGATTAAGTCACTCACTAAAGAGATGGCAGGAGGAGAAGTGGGGAGGTACAGAGGAGGAAAGAGGAAATGGCCCATTTTGCAGTGCTTAATATAGTACTTTGGATCCCAGTCTTTGGTGATAACTGATTAATCCATCAATCTTAAAGAGTCCCATCAGATTCTCACACCACAGTGTATCGGGGGTCCTGTCATGACTGGTATGCCAGATTCCACCTCATTAATCAACAGATCGACCTAATGATTTCAAAACGGTTAGTTAAATAAAGATACCAGAAGTCTGACTATACTATAGATTATCACAGTATGAAGGAGGGAGACAACCAATCATTATGTGTAATTCATTCTTCCATAGGTTGAAGTAAAATAGCAGTTCCTCTCTTAGGCAGCATGGAATTCTGGAAAATACAAGGGTTTTATCCCTCATAAATAAAATCATAGTTTAAATTTAAACTTGTTTAAGTTTGTTCTACACTGTCATACTGTAATAATATCAATTTTTAAAATTGGCCATAAAATGTCACATATTTTCATTTGCTACCACCCCATGTATCCCAAGTAAAAGGCAGGATAAAAAAATGCACTGATTTGAAAGTCTATGTATGCAATTTTGGAGAGTCTCTTCAACTAAAGGGCAGAACTTGCTGCTTGGCATACTGGTGCTATTGCGGGGAAGCACTCATTTAGGAAAAGCCAGCTATTTGCTTGGTTTTTGCCAAAGGACTATTTCCCTTCCTGTTACTCTTCATTTCTTCACTTATATATGTTATATATAGTCTTTTCCACCTCCACTCAACTTTCTCCAAACTAAAAAAAAAAAAAGCACCAAACTGTGGACTTTACCCAAAGGTTTTAAGTTTGAGGATCAGGGAAATCAGCATATTTAATACAGTAAAAGCAAATAACAAACCCATCCCCATCAATAGTATTTTTTTCTGCCTTCTACTTAACAACACAGCATTTCTTCACAAACATACTAAAGTTGATGACAAGCTGCCTGGATAGAATTTGAGATGACAAAGTTTGCCAGAAAAACAAATGGTTTCAACACACACACACACACACACACACACACACACACACACACACACACACACGTACGTGCAAAATTCCATACACAAAGTACTCTTTTCCATTCCTTTCCCAACCTTCCCTTGTGGTGCTTGATGGTCCCTTATCTTTTGGAAAGACAAGCAAACTTTGGGTATAATAAAGCCAAGAACATCTTCCCCTTAGGATAGCTTTGGAATGATGGAAAGATGAGCTTTCTGGCTGTGGGATGCACATGGATTATATATAAGCAGGCCCCCTTGCCAGAGGGTCCAAGGAGCCCAATTCAGGAATTCGATCCTCTCCAGAAAAAAGGACAAAGGGTAGCTAATAAGGAAACAAGAAAGTTTCTCAGTATCAGAAGCAGGTTGAAATAACCAAGGTAACCATATATCTCTCTCATACAGTAGGTGTTTTGATGGAAAACAACAAAGGAAAACAGTGATCAGGATATAACCAGAAGGAGGAAGTGGGCTTTTAAAAAGAGCTAGTGTAGCAATGTTAATCCTTTCATAGAAATATACTGAATGGTTTCCAGGCAGAGAACTTATCCCTATTTTTACCCAATCATTCTAAGTCCTGACCGGAAACAGCTTTTCCTGTGGACAGCCACAATTCTGAGATATAGGAAGCAGCAAGAAAGAGATTCATGAACCGTGGCCAATTACATGAACAGTACTCTTCTCTGTGATCCTATCAGTATCACTCCTTTTACAAAACCCTGTCTCATAGCCAAGCAACCACCTGACAGTGTAGAGCAGCTTTGTACATGAAATACCAAAACTGGAAACTTGACTTCACTAATAAGGGTCTCACTGGCAAAAGGAGATTAAATAGGAATGGGATATGGCTATCTCATAAATATTAAACATGCTTAATGGGGGAAAATTCTGTCCTGCTTGGACATACTCTAGGTTTGTGAATATCATAAGGAAACATTTGATGGCAAACATCTGGTGGCCAGGATGAAAATGGATATTGGACAAAATCTTGGAGGCCCATGGTCAGGGGGAATTACATAATGATCTTGTCAGCAACATTTGTTACCTTAAAATTAAAGCTAAGTTTCAAGTGTTTAAAGACAAAACTAAAGAAAGAGAGCTTTGGTTGATTATCTGTCTGGTTAAATTAGGGTTTAAACATTAATAACTTTCAAAGACTAGATGGGAGGTAAGTGGAAGGCACTTGCTTCCTAAGGAGGAGGAGTGCGGTGAATTCTCTTTGCAGGTACCACTCTGTAACCAGCAGCAATAACAGCTGTGCAGAGAAGGGTTACCTGGGACCAGAGCAGGAGGGGAGGGAGTGGTTTGGGGGTTAGCCAAAGGGAGGCTAGGATATCGTGATTTCACCAGGACAAGGGCTATAAAACAAAACCTTTTTTCTTCCAAAACTGGGGGGGCGGAGTAGGAAGGCAAAGAATAAGACACCTTTCTTTGAAAGAGAGATGTAGCAGAGAAAGAATGTGAAACAACTTTCACTATTTACAAAATGCCATTTGGATTGGATGTGGTCACCTTCAGTATTGTGAGAAAATGTCTTTTACGTGAAGCAGCCACAGAAGTGTGGTTCCTAGACTGGGCTCAGAAAGGCCACATATTGTCCTGTGTGAGGGAGGGTGTCCTTTAAAGGCCACCAAGAGGGCTCAATCTTCTGTCTCTTCATATGTAGTCTCATCAAAGGGCCGGTCCAACAGAGGTACCAACCGGTGACGGGAATACTTCAGCTGCAACAGGTCCCCAACTTCATTTATCTCCTTTAGTGCCTGATGAGAGTAAAGACAAAAAACGATCAGTCTATTCAGAAGGATACTTGCATATCTCTTTCACCATAGTTATTTATGGAGCAGCGACCTTATTGGACATGGCTGATGTTGACTTTTTTGGTTTGGCCATAGAGTTTAGCATACTTCTGGTGCTCAGGAAAACAGTCTGGACATAGAGCTAGAAAAAACAAATTCTCTTCAGTCACAACCAGAGAGATTTAGTCTCTTTTAAGGTGGGGACTATGTTTTTCTTTTGTGGGTCTCTAAAGTACCCACTACACTATTAGGTAGAGAGCATACTATTAACCTCCATGCAGACCTGACATTAGAAAATCAGAATGTGTGATGCTTACCTGGGGCATAAATTCGGGATGTGCTGGAGAACCTATGAATACATAATCAAAATCCAATGGCTGATATCATTCATTGTTTTCTTGGGATTAGTAAATTTTTGTGAGACAGGCACTGTTTTGCTTTTGTCTTTGTACCTCTAATCGTTAGCATACTGCCTTGCATGTAGTATGTATTTAATGAATATTTGCTGACTTGCTGAAACAAAGTTGAAAAGACAAGGAAACCAAAACCTTAACCACCAAACTGGTCAAAAAAAATCATATTCCCTCCCCACAATGGTCCTCCTTACAAAAAAAATTTAACATTTATTAATCACTTATAGTGTGTCAAGTACTATGATAAGTACTAGGGGAAACTACAAAGTTGAGATAAAACATGATTCCTGGCCTCAAGGATAAGGGGAGATATATGAATAAAATATGATAGCACATATTATATATTTTTTGTCAGTGCTGCAAAACCATGATATATGAGGCCTGAGAGGGAAGGATGTTACCAGGAGGGGTTCCTGGAAGAAGTACCATTTGATTTGGACTTTAAAGGATGGCTGGGAATTCAACTGGTGAAGACAGGGAGAATGTTTCAAAGATGAAAGTTTCAACTGGATAGTTAACATTTCAAACTTTCTTTAAAGAATTAAGCTTTGGGGGTAGCTAGGTGGTGCATGTGGATAGAGCATTGGCCCTTGGAGTCAGGAGGACCTGAGTTCAAATCTGGTGTCAGACCAGACAGTTGACACTTACTAGCTGCGTGACCCTGGGCAAGTCACTTAACCCCAATTTCCTCACCAAAAAAAAAGAGACTCAAGCTTCTCAACCAGTTTCTCTGAAGTTAGTTTTAAATGAGATGCAATATTTTACTCATCTCTTCCTTTCCCACATTTGTCTGCCTTTATTTTCATAATCTCTGACTATTTGTTTTGTCCATTCAATTTCCTTCTCCATACCTCTCTGTTCCTACTTTTAAGTTTCAACCCAAGTGAATATCTTTTTTCTTTGGCTAGGAAATGGGGTTAAGTGACTTGCCCAGGGTCATACAGCTACTGGGTGTTATGTGTCTGAAGTCACATTTGAATTCGGGTCCTTCTGACTCCAGGGCCGGTGTTCTATCCACTGTGTCACCTAACTGCCCCCCCCAAGTGAATTTTTTCCTCCCTATAAATGAGTAGATGAGTTAAGACAGAACTGGAAAATTTCTTAATCAGCTTTTGAATGCTATTAGTGGAGACAGAGGAATTAACATGGTGGGAGTTTCCTCCAGAGAATGGCAGCACAAAGCACCAGATCTAGAGCAGGACATTCTCAAAATGGCTAGCAAAATCGTTTACTCTAAGTCAATGAACACAAATGCAGCCCTCTGAGTGAGAAGGATGGCACCAGTAAAGGCTGTAGAGTAAACAGAGGGAAGAGACTTTGTTTTAATTCTCTTTGCTCAGCACCAAGTAAAGTACATTCTTAACAGATGATTTCTGAAAAAGGGATGTTGCTTGCACTCTACTCTCTTGTCAAGTATTCCATATCCCAAAGCTTGCACTCCTGCCTTAGGACCTTTTTGTTACATCTTCTAGGCGAGGCCAAGCTCCTTTAACTAAAATTTACCATTAGTCTAGTACCTTATCCCTTGGAGTTGCTAAGTATTAACTAGCTAATCTGATCAGAGGAGAGCTGGAACAACTTCTAGAGATAAGTGGCCTGCCTTTTGTGTCTCTAATGAGAGGTGATAGAGATATTTTTTGGCAGGCCCAGGCCCAGGGAAACCATATTCCACAATGTGTCCTTCCCCTTCACTAATCCCCAAGTTTTTACCAAATATGGGTTGAATGAATATCTTCTTTCTAGCCCTGTGGCAATAACATTATTCTGAAAGATTCTGGTTTTCATACCCTCTTCCTTCAAAGGATTAACTGTTAGTTACTACAAAAGACATTAATGTTAAACTGAACTATTTATCTTAGATAAAAAGGAATGTTTCTCTTAAAAAATACATAAGAAAAAAATAAAATAGCTGCCCCCAAGCTTCTTAGGCTTAGCAGAGAAAGACATTCTTCATTCCAAAATGGAGAAAATACGGGAGGTTACTAAAAACTGAACTTTGCCATGAGAACAGTGGGCACCTTTAAGAAGATATTGAACTACAAGCCCCATATGGAAACAATTTAAGTTTGAATTTCGGCTGGGAAAGTCCATTAACCATTTTTTCCTAAACTCTGATTTAGGATTTTATTAATTTAAAAGAAAAAGACCACGTGACTTGCCAAGACCACAAAGGAAATGGCATTTGTGAACTCTGACTTCAGAAGAGTGTAATATTTTTCATCACCATAAAATGAAAGCAAAAACCCACACTGGCCCAAAGGGATACAGGTTTCAAGGTTTCCCTCTGATCCCATGCCAAATATTCCAGGCAAGGAAGTTCTATTTACATAAAACATCTATAAATTGTAACTGAAAACTAATGCCCATTGCGTGGGTTTATTTAATAAAAACAGGAATAAGGAAGCATTACATATATGTCACCATTTAATAACAAATAGTCTACCCTGAACTTCTGAATCACTGGATAGAATGGTTTCTTAGGAAAACACCATGCTGTTAATGATAGCATTGAATGGAGTAGATGGGAGGAGGGAATATTCCAGGTAACCCTTCCACTGGCCTAGTCCCCTGCTCTTCCCTTTATTCTTTTATTTTGGAATATTTGCATTGACTTAGAGGTGGCCAAGCTCATTTAGGAACAATGATTTCAAGTACTTTTTAGGTAATTCTTGCTTCAATCAGTAAAATCACCAAATAATTACATTCTACTTATACTATCTCAACGAGGGAGAAATGAAGACCATATAAGAATTTCCCATGGATTAGAAGTAAATGAACTATTACAGTGCCATCCCAGCTTGTTCTTTAACAACATCTTTGATATATAAATATATAGGTTATGAAAGTCAATGAAATTTAATCCCTTAAAACAAATCTAACTTATGCAGCTTTGTTGGAAAAAGTCATCGTTCAGAGTATGTAATTTGAATTTGAGTTTTATTTTATTTCATAATAGGCTTAACCAAAGAGAAGAGCCTATTTCCATCAAAGGCCATGAGATGTGAACATTTCAAATGCAGTTTAACTGCATCAGAAATCGGATAGTTATACTGAACAAGCATAAATTGTTTCCCGGAGTTGGTCATGTTTTTCTCTATAGCCACAGTCGTATCAGAAATGTGCAATGTACTCTCATAATCCCTGCTTAAAAGGAAAGTACAAGGGCAGACCAGAAAGTCAAATGCAACTGACTTACTTAAAATCTAGCATGAGGCATTAAATCTACATGAGCTTGGAGCTCAATGATTTCTCCCCCCTTATGTCTTTACAGAATGGGAGGTGATAGTATTCCCAAGGCAGGGTTCAGAAACTGGATTAAAGAGACCACAGAAATCAGAACATAGAGGATCACTGAGCTAAACTCAAAGTTAAATAAGGTAGCTGCCAAATGTAAGAACTTACACAAAACGCACAGTTTCAAAGATCCTAGTCATTTTGCTTCGCTAAAGTAAGAAAAGAGATCTTTAGAAAACCCTAGGAATTTGGAAAATTTAAAATATAAAATAAGTGGTTGCAATATTACAGGCATTTTCTTCCTCTCAAATGCTCTTTAGGATTAATGGAACTGCAACTAATTATAGGAAGTATTCAATATTGTAAATAAGAAAGGACCGAGGACCTGGGAGTCAGGGTATTAGTGTTGAAGTCTCATCTCTACCACTAAACTAGTGGTCTACCACGGGGCACCACATTTCCTTTCTGTTAAAATAAGGGGATAGATTAAGATGAGGATGACCAGAGAAGAAGGGGACTCAAAATTATGTCATGTTTAGATCCTTTATGAGAACAAGGGGACATGTTCTTTGGGTGTCAGAATACCGTCCTGCTTGTCTGATCTAAGGAAGAAGGTATTAGGAGCGAAATGTAAAAAGTTGTGTATCACCACCATCTGTTTTGGACACTACTCAAACTGAGGTACAAAAATGAATTAATCGGGGTAATTTTATGAATAATTCCATTATATCTAGACCCATATAAGACAATGATCATCATGATAAACATGCCCAAGATCGGGAAACTTACAGTATCAAGTATTTCTTTGGTATGCGCTGCTGACAAGCAAAACCTAGCTCGGGATTCAATAATTGGGGTAGCAGGAAATCCCACCACAACCACACCGATGTTCCGCTTTAACATCTCCCGTCCAAACGCACTAAAAGAGGAGAAAACAAGGAAGAAAGTCAGGAAGAAAAAGAAAAGGATTAAGGCTCCTGCTGTCCTCTTTGGTGGACTATGCACTAGAGACTCTTTTGAATCACTCACTGCCTTCTTTTAGCTGTAGAGCTGACAGGATACAAAGGCTTCTTTTGTTCATTCCTTGAGGTGGTCTTACCCCCAAATGGTTTCACTCACAAAGCTGAAAGATTATATTTGGCAGAGACAGGGGTTTTCTAGCAGGGCTGGTTTAAATGGATTTGTAACCTATATCTTTCTGATATACTACAGTGACCCACAGGGCTTAAATGAACCCAAGTATAAACCCAGGACCTTGGAATGAGAGGTTTGGCAGATTTCACACCTAGCAGGCGATCAAGTTATTGCCCAGCTTTTACACGTTTGTTTTTGAGCTACCAGGTTGGCCAAGTGGCTTAGCCCCTAGAATTGAAAATAACTCCAGACTCTGAACTTCTTTGATTAGCTTGAGAACAAGATTGCCTTTGAAATTAAGCTCTTCCTTTTGTTTCCAGGGCCAGTTCATCACCCGGCTTTAGGAGATCACACAGGTCTATTTATTCATCCCCCTTCCACCTGAAGCCAAGCTGGTGGTAGAGGCCAGTGGTGTCAAAATCAAATAGAAACAGAACCACAAGAGTGTACATAAAGATGCCTGTGAATGCATATTAACTCATAGAACCAGTTATTAATATTATGTATGTTATATTGCACTTTTTATTTATTTTGTTTAATTTCCAGTTACATTTTAATCTGGTTCTGCCTGTACTCTGGAGTGTTGTGGTAGCAACATGGCTCACTTCTGGTATAGGCTATTGATTGCACATCTAAATCTTGTCTAAGTAGAACCCTGGGTCAAATATCCATGGAGATTCTGGTGTTTGCTTAATTAAATGTCCTTTTTTCTTTTGTTCATGTTGATGGAGCACAGTTTAAAAACAAACAACTTTTCTTTTTAAGTTGTTCAAACTTCTTTAAAATGAAAAAAATTTTGTTCTTTACTAGTCCCTTTTTTGTGGAGAATTGCATTTTCTTTTTTTTATCATATTTTTTATTAATTTATTTTTATTTATCAACAATCACTTCCATATGCTTTTGAGTTTAAAATTTTTCTTCCCCTTCCTCCCCACCACCCTCCCCAAGACGGTGCACAATCTGATATAGGCTATACATATACATTCCTATTAAACATATTTTCACATTAGTGATGTTGTAAGTGAGAATTAGAACCAATAGGAGGAACCACCAGAAAGAGGAAACAAAACTCAACAGAAGAAAAAAAAAAGCAAATAGTATGCTTCGATCTGCATTCAAACTCCACAGTTCTTTCTTTGGATGTGGATAGCATTTTCCATCATGAGGCCTTTGGAGATGTCTTAGATCTTTGTTTTGCTGGGAAGGGTTAAGTTTATCAGTATTAGTCATCGCATAATGTGGCTGTTATTGTTTTACTAGTCCTTTAACAGCAGCACTAGTCACGAGTTTTCTCTAGACCTTACCCAGCCGACTACTCTCTAGCATTTGCAGTGTCAATATTCTATGATAGGAGTAAAAAATAGTCAGGAGTGTCTCACTATTATATGGAGGTAAAAACATTTTATTTTGCTCAATCTATTCCCCTAAACCCATCTATTTCTTCATTTCATTCCAGAGCTTCATTGTTTTTCTCTCTTTGTAAATAAATGCTTTATAATTTATATAATTTTATTTATCTTTCTGGAATAGTTTAGATGTAGTCCTTACTGAAAACAGGCAACTGGGCTAGATGACTCAAGGTCCTTACAAGCTTTGGGTATCTATGCCAAATGCGCTTAAAAAACAGTCATATTATATTAATAATTCTGGAAACTACACCTGCCAGCTGCATAGATTAGTAAAGTGCTTGTGCAACAGTCTCGTGAGGTAGGTAGTATGAATACTAAGGAGTAAACTGAAATTCAGAGAAGTAAAATACTGGCTGTGCTATCCATGGCTAGTAAATAGCAGAAGCCAGATCTTATTTCAAGTTCAGGGTTCTTTCTACTATTCCACAATGCTTTCCCAAACATCCCGACACCACAGTAGCTCCTGCAGTTCTATAAATATATAAAGCAATCAACAATCGCTTGCTGAATTAATAAATTATTAACTCTGAATCTACTGAATTTGTAAAATCTTTAGGAAGTAGAGGCTATTTTACTTCTGTTAATAAAGAAGCTAAAGAATTTCCCCAACAGCATATACTCCAGAAAATAATATATATTCTCATTAGCTGCCTGAAGTTCAGCAAGGGCCTTTTCAACAGACTGCTTTATGACTTACCCAATTTTAGCTGGCATGTAGAGCATCAAAGGCACCACAGGGGAATCTTCATTTCCATAGATGATGAAGCCCATCTCCTTCAATCGCCTTCTGAAATACCTAGTGTTTTCAGCTAGCTGTTGTACACATTCTTTGCCTGTAAAACATTGAGGAAAAACATACATGAACAAAATCATCCACAAATCAAGGACTATCCCTTGAAATACTGTTATCTTCCTTTGCACTTGGATTCAGAACCAGTCAACCACTGTGACTCAGTAGAGAGAACGCCAGACTTGGGAGTCAGGGAGAATCGGGTTTGATACTTACTAGCTATGGGCCCATGAACAAATCACCCTACCTACCTCTTAAGCCTTTTCCTTATCATGTGTAAAAGGGAAATAAATCGCCATACCCACAGCACCTACCTCACATGACTGTCGTGAGGCTTAAATGAGCTAAATGATGGATGTAAAGCTCTTTGAAAACTTGGCAACACATGCAGATGTCACTATGGTATTTGTAGACAGAGCATAATTCAGCTGGTCGTCTAGGAATGATGTGGTTTTTGAATACACAGGCGCTTAGCAGAGCTCCTAGTACATACTATGTGCTAAATAAATGTTTACTGACTGAATGACTGACTCAAGAATGAAGAGGGTTTCTGAAGGATAGTAAAACTAGGAGGGTATTGGCAAAATCTGTGCTAACTTGAGTTCTTTTGATTAACTGAAAAACTCATAATGATGTGGTGATTTCCTCTATTAATATTAACTGACCCAATTGATTTTCATTTTTCAAAACAAAAAACGTTCTATTATCTGTATGCAACATACAGCAAATATTTTGTGTGACAACATTATGATGGCTCTGTATCTTCTCCAGCAGACTGCCCCCATAATCATCTTTTCTCTCTAATTTTCCATATATCCCCATCAACTAGTTTTTTCCTTGTTGCCTACAAACATGCCCAAATTTCCTCTACCCAGGAGAAAATCCTCAGTGGACCCTATCATCTCTATCTGTCCTCCCTTTCATAGCTAAATCCCTAGAAAAAGCTGTCTACACTCATTGTCTCCAACTTCTAAATCCTTTGTAATCTGTCTTCCGACCTCATTACTCAACTGAATATGCTCTATCTACAGTCACTATTAATGAGCAGTCTAAATTGCTTAATCTACTGGTCTTTTTAAAGTCCTTATCCTTTTATTTTTACCTCTCAGCAGCATGTGGCATATGACCACTGCTTTCCTCCTGGATACTTTCTCCTCTCTGAGGTTTCATAGAACTGCTCTCTCTGGGTTCTCCTCCTACCTGTCTGACCACTCCTTTTTAGCCTCCTATACTAGTTCTTCTTTGGTATCGTGCCCTCTTCCTAAGGTTCTGTCCTGAACCATCTTCTGTTCTCACCTAGTGACCTCACCAGCTTCTAGGATTTACTTCCCTTTAAACTCCCTTTTACGTGTTGTCTTTTCCCATTAGAATATAAACTCCTTAAGAGCAGGCACTGTTTTTTGCTTCTTAGTATTCCCAGCACTTAGCACAGTGCCTGGGACATAATAAGTGCTTCATAAATGCGTGCTCATTTGACTTGACTTCTACACAGATGCCTCCTAAATCCACATATCCAGCTCCAGTTTCTATTAGATATTTGAAACTAAGATCCTTATGCAACTCACACTGAACCATGTGCCAAACTGAATTCATTATCTTCCCCTCCCCAAACCCTCTTCTTCTCCCCCTCCTCAATTTTTCAGAGGGTACTACCACCCTACTAGTTACCCAAGCTCACAACCTTGGCGTTATTCCTTTATTGTTCGTTCTCCTTCACCCCTCCATATCTTGTTAGTTGCCAAATATTTTTGTTTTTACCTTCACAAAATCTCTAATATGTCTCTTTCTCTCTACTCACAGAGCCAAACTGACTTTCTTAGAGAGCAGATCTGACCATGTCACTGCCCTGCTCAAACACCAATGCCTCTCTAATGCCTCTAGCATAACAGAAAAGCTCCACTCTTTAGTTTTTAAAAGTCCCTCATAACCTGGCCCAAACTTACCTTTATTATAAATTACTCCCCTTCCTGCACTCTACAATCCAGATAAATCGATGTTTTTTTCCTTCCTTGAACACTAAGTCTTTGCACTGGCTGATCCACGTGCCTAGAATACGCTTGGAATACTTTGTCTCCTTCAAAACTTTGTTCAAATGACACTTTCTAAATGAAACCTTTCATAAACCCCAGAGCTGCATGGGGTCCCCCCCCCACCCCTTTTTACCTTGCATTTATTTCGCATATATTGTCCTCCCCTGTAGAATGTAACCTCAGTGAGGACAGTGCCTGTTTCATTTCTGTCTTTATCTCCTCAGTGCCCTGATTAATCTCTGCATTAATTATATTTGTCTTTGTCAGCTCCTAGATGAGGATTCATATCTAGTAACTCATTTTATAATGCATCCAGAACAGCACCAAGAACAAATGTTGCTCTCTCATCAGATCCCTTGGGCTCAAGTATCATTTTTATATAGATAACTCCCAAACCCCAAAAGACCTTCATCCTTTTCCTCAGTTTTAGACCCATATCTCCAATTGTCTGCTGGACATCTCTACCTGGATGTCATATAGGTATTTCAAATGAATGACAACTCAGTATCTTTCCTTCTAAACCCATTCATAACATCTTTTTTCTGTCAAGGGTTACCACCCAGATTTCACCACCTAGAAGTCATCTTTAGGTTTTCATTCTTACCTTCACCTTCTATAACCAATCAGGATATGATTTGGTTGATTCTACCTTCATAACTGTTGCATTCTTACCACTCTCATACAGCTACCACTTCACACCTCTCATTTGGAGTACTGCAACAACTTTTAATACTTCTTTCTTTGAGATCTCACATTTTGACATAATGGAACAGTGATTAAAAAGGGGCATTTTAGTATCATGCATAATGTTTCCCAAAATGGTGGCGGCAGAAAAGTGTTAGTCTCTACTAAGTACCTCCTTCCCAGTCAGATAACTCTTGTTTCTTCCTATCTGGGTTTTTTCCATCCTGCCCCCCCACCCCACCCCAAGTGGTATCTTGTGTTTGACCCAAGATGTCTATTCATCAGATTTGAGATCTGGTAGAAAAGAATATGTATAGATCACATTGTGTTAACCATGTTAGTGAGCTGACAGGACAAATAAAATTCCAGTTCTCACATGATTGTAATGCCATTGATAGGAGGATGCTAACAGTGAAGGCACTAGTCTCCTCCAAAAGAAATGAAAAACATTTCAAATTAATAGCTCCTGTTTTAAAGAACCTATGCTCAACCCACAATTAGCTCTTCCCAGGCTCTTATTCCATGATCTCCTAAAAAGACAAACTACTAATGTCAGTTAAAAATTTCAGCATAGTTGTTTTGTTACAAAAGCAGAAATTTATCTGTACTGACAATTCCAAAATATAAAAATCCCTCTTCTAGTAAACACATACCAATAAGTAATCATATTGCAAGGTCCCTTTCACTCAAGGGAAATAATTTCTTGCAAAAAAATGGGAATTTCTTTTTTCTTATATTTTTTATAGAATACATTTAAATATGAACTATCTTGAAGGATTTCTGCATGATTTACAGCCAATCTACAAAACAAAGATGTCAATTATTCCCTTTAAAGCCAATTTTCTTACTTCAATATTCTGGGTAATGTGGATTTTGTAGATTTAAAAGAGAAAAAGAGTAAAAATAAAACTAGGAGAGAACAAAAACAGCCTATTTACTTCAATAATTCACAGCCATTCTTTTCTGAAAAAAAAAATTATACCTAAAAGTGGGGGTAGGAGATGGGAGAAACTGGATGAGACTATCTAGCATCTGGCAGCATTATTTAATAATTTTCAAGATTCTTACACTCATTTACTAAAAAGACACCACACAGATACAGTTACAGACCACTATGTAACAAAATTAGCCTAATGTTTCTCTCCTTCAGAAATGAAGATATGAAAGTTTTCCTTTTTCTTAGCGATTCCTTTTAGTGACATTTCCAGCAAATGGCTTTCTTTAAGAAAGGGAAAGTGACAGCGAAGAAAAAGGGAGGAAATGAAAGAGAAGAAGGTGGCTTCCAAAGTGACTGAATAGATCTTCCCACCCTCAGCCCTATCTCCTTTAGTCCCAGCCATTTGGGTGCTCTATTAAAAGCAGAGGGGTGTGGGTGAATTATTTTTCTGGGAAAACCCTTTATTCCTGATTTTCCTTCTAAAATATATGAAGCTGAAAAAAATTTATGAGAAGAAATAGGTAAATGAATAAATTGTAAGTACTCATGGAAGAGAATGAAAAGAAATATATATATATATATATATATTATATATATATATATATATATATATATATATATTTGGACTAAGACATGGTGAATATAGTAAGGTAGCATGTAGAATATACTTTTCAAGTGTCCTTTCTTTATTCTCTTCCTTTATTCCCCTCTGCCCTTCACCTTTAAAAAGACTTACAAGTGATATACCACATAAAGTGGCCCTATTTCTTGTAGCAAATACATCTACAATCTGGTATCATTATCCTGAGTTCCAGAAGTGGAGAAGGAGTGTTAATAGCAGTCCCATGGAAAAAAGAGTAGTGCTAGGTCAGTCACAAGAGTGAACACCAACCAGTTCAGAAAAGAAATCAACTAATTGACTAAGAAGGTTAAAGTACACTAATACTTAAACTTGTCACTCTTCTAATATTAAATTCAGAATTTCTTAAGTAATACGCAGGTGTTCACTGAATAAAAACTATTTAATACCCCCTCCTAAAGAGTATGTTTTTTATATGTTATTATATACATGATTATATGTGTACTTACTACACTAACAATTTACAAACAAAAGCTATAAAGCATATTTTGTTAGAATACTGGAAACAGTTATAGGGTGAGATACAAATCAACATCCTTTTAAATACTTCAAAAAGGTGGGCAGCTAGGGAGTACAGCAGACAGAGCACCAGCTCTGGAGTCAGGAGGACCTGATTTCAAATGCAGCCTCAGACACTTGACACTTATGAGCTGTGTGACCCTGGGCAAGTCGCTTAACCCCACTGCCTAGCCAATAAATAAATAAATACTTCAAAAAGGAGGGGATGTTTGACAATACACCACACCTCTAAA